TATGTACAGGGAATCCCGGTGCACTGACGACTCCACAATCGAGTCCATTCTTCCTCGAAGGGATTTCAAGTGACGTAACCCGAAACCCCACACAGGCACTGACAAAGTCGGGTTGCGAGATCACGACCCGCTGGAATTGTTATCACAAAAAACCCTTCGCCCTTCTGAAGGATTACGATGCCGACCGTGATGATGATGATGATGATGGCGACTGACGGATTCTGGCAAGAATCACGCCACAGTTGCTCGCATTTTTCCAAGCTTTCGAATATTGTCTCTAATCGAGAAACATTGTAGGATCTCTCAATAATAAGATGACATTTGCGTAGTTTTAAAGAATAGGTTCCGCACGTCTCTTGAATATTTCACCCAAAATCGAAGCTCTACTCGTTTTTCTCCTCACATGGTTATATCTAGAAAATTGACTAAAAAGAAAAGGTATTGGAATTTTTCCAGGAATCATTCCGCAGTTGCTCGGATTTTTACAAGCTTTCCAAGAGGGATCTTCGAAACAATCGGTACGATCTTTCGATAAGATGACGTTTGTATACATATTTGAAGAATTAGAATTTTCCAGTTCCATCGTCAATATTCCTTAAATCGAATTCTCCTGCTTTAACAGCTCGAAATTGTTCCCAGGTTTTGAAAGAGCGTTTCTAATCAAAATAGCTTTTAAAATCTCAAAATGACGTTTATGTACTGTTCAACAAAAGTTTGCGCACAGTCTAAATCTTTCACCCGAAATCAAAGCCATTCTCGATTCTTGCATTTGAACTTCAGACGAAAAAAGAATGTAATGGAATTTCCCAGTTTTCATGTTCCTCGATTCGGATTCTCCTGCTTTCAACGCTTGAAATTTTTCTCAGCTTCCAACGAGCGTTTCTCATCAAAGAATAATTTTTAGAATCTCAAGATGACGTTTGCGTATAGATAACAAAATTTTGCGCACTTCCCAAAATTTCCACTTAAAATCAAAGCTCTTCTCGTTATCTCCTCGCGTCGTTATCTTGAAGGTGAACTTGAAAAAAAAAGACATCGGAATTTTCCAGTTCCATCATCAATGTTATTTTAATCTAATTCGCCTACTGTCAGTGCATGGCATTGTTTTCAGCTTTGTAAGAGCGTTTCTAATCAAAATTAATTTGTAGACCCTCAAGATGACATTTGTGCACAGATAAAAGTTAGAGCACGTCTTTGTTTACACAAAATCAAAACCCTCATTGTTATCCCCTCAAGTAGCCATCTTCAAATTCGATTAAGACGGGGGTATTTCACTTTCAACGTCAACAAATTGGTCTCCCCTCCTTTCAATTCATGGATTTTCAAAGATTTTGAAAAAGTAAATAAATTAAAATGGCGCTTGCATGAATAACCTAAGCTGGTTTGAATTATTTTTATGAAGATAATCAGTTTCTCCATCGATATCTTAATTGTTCTTTAAAATCTCAATTCAGAAGGTTCGCTCAAGTAATTTTCGAAGTACAGTACTGTATTTGAACATCATCTACGTGAAATTGAATTTATCTGCCTTTAACGTTCAAAATTGTTCCGAAGGTATGCAAGAATATTCATGTTGAAACGATCAGAGTCTTGAGATGCCACGAGCTTCTTCACAATTCTAATTTTCAATAAAAAAAATCAAACTCTGCACCTTTTCTTGTGCAAAATTTTAGATCATAAAATGAACGAGCGGAAGATTCGAGAAAAAAAATAATGAGAATTTTCGTTAGGCTGTGTTTGAATTTCCTAAGGCATCTCTCACATTATTTGCTATTATTTTTGGGGTAAATTTATGCTCATATTACAGTTTAGTATACTGTACTGTATAAGTGAACGAATTTGAAGACGAATCATTTTTCAGACGTTCCCTGCAACCCATTTTTGAAAAGGATGTCAAACTAAGAGCACAGAAGAAGCAGCCGTGCGGCTCATTTTTTGTAATACGAGGTCACGTCCTCAACGACTTCTTTCAATCTCTCTCTCCGGAAGGATTTCCTATTCTGATCGTCTTCACGATTATCGACACAGAATCCCTCCTCATTTTCAATAGCTATCCTGTCTGGAAAATTCACTAATGATACACGTGACCCGAGTAAACGAACTCGAACCCGTCGCCAATTTTTTCTTCCCAGCGCCGCACAAAATCCGTGACTTGAGTGATTCAATCGTTTCGGCCCATTTGGATTCAAGGTTAATGACTACAATAACACCACTAATGACCAGAGCCTCGAAACCCACCCCGTAACCTAAGGTCGCTCATTCGAAGGATAAAATCGCGCGAGAGTAAAAGAAATAAAAGAAAACAGGGAATTCTTCCGGTGAAACGAGTTCTGCGCTGTACAGGAACTTTATTGATCGTCGCCAATCGCTTACAATTTATCTACCTTTTAAAAGAATACCAGGGTCTCTTCTTTCGAATCGCCTTGTTCGGGAACTGAAATGCCTTCGCAAGGACACAAAGATAAGATCTCAACCTGAAGGTCTCTTCAATAGCCGTCCCTAAAAGGACAAACGCCGGGAGAATTTCTTCTTTTCTAATCGAGATAAGAATCGAACCGAGCCTTCTCCTGAATAGCGAAGCTCCTGCACTTTTTTATTTATTTTTTGGTCACAAGCCACCTGCATTGATTTTCTTTTTTTTTTTTTTTGTATCGCAAGCATCCTGCAATGGCCACAAAAAACCTGAAACACCAGGGTTGAGAATTCGAACACCAAGCCCGGGTTGTGGCCTTTTAAAAAAGTGCGTTTCATCCAAGGATAAAAGCCGATCAAAACCAACTAGCATTCACCGACACACAAGAGGCCCTCATAAAAATGGGAGCCGAGAATACAGCCAGTAAAAAAGTTTTTGTCTCAGAGCCGTGAACTTTTCGAACTTCATTCGAGATCGTCATATTCATAATCCTTGAAATTCCAATTAGAGAGAAAAAATATATACGAGGTTGCCGGAAGTATAAAACTCAGCAGAAAATCCCGCTGGTCAAGAAATGCGGCAACCAAAAAAAAAAAAAGCTGCAGAATATACGTACATTGTTGGACTGATTTCAAATTACAGCATAGAAAATTGCAACACAGTATTTCAAGAAAAAAATATACATGAACTTATTTCGCGACACAATCGGTTGTTTCTTGTTATTCCGTGCATGAGTTTCTTGACAATTTTCTTGGTTTCATCAAGGAAGAAATGGAAATATATTTCGAAGCTTAAAAATATTACATGACTTACTCGAATTATTCCGAGTATAAATTTATAATTGATCTGTTTCTAAAAGCTGTTATGAATAACTGAAGGTTCTGTCGTCCAAAAATCGTTATTTCCAGAGAATATCTGCGGGTTACAAAAATTTGATCTTTCAACTGCGTTGAACACTTTGAACGCGTCTCGGGTCAGAAGGCAAAGTTTCAACTGTCAAAAAGACTTCTGAATAAATAATCCGAGTCCATGTGATTCGACTGAACCAGTCATACATATAATTTTCAGTTTAGATGCGCAAG